AGTAAAAAACCCCCATTATTCAATTCAGTGGGAGATAAATGATGTGCAAGCTGAAAAGAACTCACGGTCACGGCTGTTGTAAAAACTTGAAAACTAAGAGAAAAATAAAACTTTCCATACTATACTTAATGACCAATAATTTTCAGATTCTTTGAAAACAGGCCAGGAGATGAAGATTTCTATACCAGACATCCAAATCGTTGAAGGTTCGCTGCGCAGCTACCTCACAGTCAGTGGCAACATAGTTGGTCGCGCACTCACCAATCTCGATAGCCTCATTCAGTTGCCCACAGGATGTGGAGAGCAGAATTTGGTGAAGGTGGCGCCCAGTGTCTACGTCCTTCGCTACCTTCTCAACCGTCGCTGCAACAACACCAATAAAACGAACAACTCTCACTACGACCATGTGATGAAGAAGGCTGCCTCATACATTCTCAGCGGATTCGACAATCAACTGACCTACCGTCATCCCGAAAACGGCGCTTTCTCCATATGGGGGCCACAACAAGACTCAAATGGAAGCACTTGGCTCACCGCATATGTCTTCCACGTCTTCAGTGAGGCTGAAATGCTGCCCATTATCTCCATCACGGGACAGTCCCTGGATGCTCATGCTACTCTCTCTACCGCCTTTGATTTCCTCAGCGGTCAACAACGCGTGTCCGGTGATGGGTGCTTTGAGGAACCCAGGCACCGCTTCCTGCCATGGATGCACAACCCCAACGACGTCGTCACCCGCCTCCATCTCACCGCACATGTACTTGCCGCACTCGGTTCCGCCAGCACCGCACTGAGAGAAGCCAAAGGGCAAGCTTTCACCAGCTGCGTGCGTTCCGCCATCAAATGTATTGATTCGGCAGCAAGGCAGCTGCCCTTTACCCAATGGCCCACTCTCCTCTTGGCTAAGGTTGTCCACGCCACTAGTGCCTTCCCACACGAAGCCAGCTCATCAGTGTACAAAGCCATGGTCGCGGAATTGAAGCGACGATCAGTGCTGCAATCCACCATTAGTGGATCTTTGCGATGGTGGCCAGAGTCTACATCCGCCATCACCACCACCAGCACAAGTCACCTCACTAAAGTGCTCCGCCTGGAGACCACTGCTTACGCCCTGATGGCACTCGCTCCCATTCACCTCTCACAGCAGGACCAACTAGCCACTATGAAGTGGATCTCACAACAACAGAATGAGAAGGGCGGTTTCTACTCCACGCAGGACACGGTGGTTGCTTTGCGCGCGCTAGCATACAATGCAGCATCCTTCCCTTCCCCCGTCCAACCCACATTACTGTCTATTCACTCCACACCCAAGCCAACTGTGCATGCGCAGTTGGAGGTGAGTGCACAGAATAACTTGGTAGCACACACATTTGAAATCGGACCTCACAATCTTAGTGACATCACCACTCTCCGCGTTACTATGCAGTCCTCACAACCAGTGTGCGTATCTGCCCACTTTACGACAATCTACAATGTACCCGAGCCACGCAGACAGGAGGATGTGTTTGAGTTGGATGTGTCGGTTGATCAGGGTGGCAACACTGCCACTGCTGCATGCACCACAGCACTCACCACAGTGTGTCTGCGTACTGCGCGTGCACACGCCACTGGTATACTGCTCGTGACTGTGCAGCTGCCCAGTGGATGGATGGTGACAAGAGGGGAGCTGGGGAAGGCGCCGCTCAATGCGGATGTACAAAAAGTGGAGCTGGATGCTCAGAAGCAGGTAGTGAGTGCTTACTTCAACGGCTTCTCAGAAAAGGATGAGAGTGCGGAGAGGTGTTTCACAGTGGCCTCGCATCAGCGCGCTTTTGTGGAGGAGGTGCAGCCTGGTTTGGTCACTGCACGAGACTACTACAACCCACGTGAGATGGTGCAGGCTCCCCTAAACTTGAACGCTTGTCAACTTTACTGGAATTCAATACGTGATGGTGTTGTCATCACCAACATACCATCACCTTCCAGCCTAAACTTTTCCACCACTAGCACAGTTTCAGACACCATGAAATCAAGTCCGAAATGTCCGAAGTGTGGAAAGATGGAGCCAACAATTCTGATAGATCATCTCAACAAATCACTGTGCTTCCATGAGCGCCAATTCTACATTTTCTTTACGCATGGTGGGACAAACCGCACTGTAGCG